AGAACGTTCAATATCTCACGGTGTGATTACTGAGGGCTTGATAACGATTTGACGATCTCATGGCCTCGTTTAATGTCATTATACAAATAAGTGTAACGAACTAGGATTATGAACTAAAGAACACCATTAATTCTATCCTTGATTAGTTATTCATAGTCTTGAGATTTGGTTGTTTATGAGATTAGCATAACTAACTCAATACAGGAAAAGATTTGTACTTTGGTATGTATTTGATTCACGTAAAATCTATTCAGCCGAGTTAAAAAAATATTTCACTAACAGAAAGATTATTTGTCTGTGAGTAACTTCGGCTACATTTTTTATTATTTTTCAATTTCCTGCGAACAACAGTAATTTGTACACTTCCAAGAGGTTATTTGTCCTGATAATTTCAACACTTTTGTTATTCTAGTTGTCAAAGTGACGCACTGTGTGATTCAGTAAAATACGGAATAACTACTTAAAAAGGTGATCAAACTAAATATAGACATTTTAATATGACATTTATATATGTTACAATTAACACTTAAATGTGTTTATTATGTAAAGGGCAGTATCGCACTAATGTAGAGGTAACGGAGCCGAGCAAGCGCCAAAACACTCTCGCAATTATGCAAATTGTTTTGTTATAACCTTATTGCCGCGGCCAGCCTGCTCGCCGGTTGGCTGTCTTCTGGTGATGGAAAAGCGATTAGTATGGTAATTTTCAAAATTGATGACTTTTTGGAATTTTTTACATAAAAAATATACTTTTGATGACGTATTCCGAAATCTAGATATGGTATAAAATGTAATAAAATTACATCAAGTAAACATTAATGAAACAATTTTAGTATCTGTTATAGATAACGATTAGGTTGTCGAACGAATGATAGCATATCACTCGTTAAGATGTTCAATGCTGCTTTCCCATAATATAGTTATATAAAACCTGATGAGAACTTACGATTTTTTATGTCCTTAGAGACTCTTTTCAAAGAGTGGCAAAAATGACGTAATGTTATTTAAAATATCTTTGCATCAGTTAATTCTACAAAGTAAGTACCTTTATTAACAATTTTCATTCATAAGACGTGTTACAAATTCATGGAATTAAGTCTCCTTAATTGGTACTTCCTTGAGGAAATTAGTGATGTGCCTACAGCGCCGTCTTCGTTGACACAATCATCTCAGATAGATGTCGCCACTACCAATGTCAACTCGAACAAATGTAAACCTGGACATTTTCACTCTTGTGAAATAAATTCTAGTTGAAAATTGTCAAATATATTTTTACATTTAAAGTAACTATGAATGTATAAGTGGTATTATTAGATATTAGTGTAAGAAGTGGAGCGAGTGCAGAGTACCAGTGGTAGCAGCCGGTGCTGGCTGCCCACGCGCTTGACCCCGCAACCGCCGACTAATTCAATTGTTCCCGCACGTCGCGTCGCACACAACACAGCACGCGAGTATATCGATAACATTGTCACATCGATAAAAACTGCAAAAGTGACTTATTCAACAAATCACAAAAATGAAAGAATCTAATGATTCTTCAATTTAATACCTTAATTGTACTAACTATTAACTAAATATAAGTATCACAATTAATTTACTCTTAAACACATACTAATTAAGAAAAAATACTTGTTTATTTTCAATGGCTTTACATAGGTAAAGAAAATATTTTTTCTTGCATATCGAGTATGAAGTGCTTGGTACATCACTACACTGATGGCATCTCAGTTCGTGCGCGTCAATTATTTAACCTTAGTTGCGCTGCGGGTCACAAACATCAGCCGCGACCCGCAAGAACCACCACCCCTCTCCCCCCATCCCCTGAGATTGACTCACGCGCTCACGCGTCTCCTGTTGCTCTTTACTATACAACTCTAACATGATAATGACAAACAATAATTTGTTCAATGTAATACAAACAATTATTTTTTATTAATTAAAAATATCCTACAAAATAAAAAGTTAAATAAGTTTGCTGATAAAAGAGTTTGGTCGGTATTAAAAAGGTTAACACGTGGAAATTCTTTTAATTGTCAACATTTATTATGAAATTTAAAAAACATTTCTACTCGTGTATACAGCAGCTTTGTCAATATTTGACTACAAACAATTTTCGCTTTACAAATATCGCACTTATGTAGAGTGAATGTTCAACAATAAGAGTGATAATCGCGTGCAGCCGCACAAAACATGCCCTCGATGTTGCCAAACATTGGATCAAATGTAAAACAATTGTTCAAATATTATTAAACAGGTGATGTCTATACAATACTCAAGGACGATAAAACATAAAGTGCCAATATTATGTCTCGACAAAAATGTTTTTAAAATAACTCGTGTAAACATGACTCATACGAAAAGACAAAGAATAATATAAAAGTACTCCTAATAACATAAAAATATTCAAATATAAGTACTAAAAATAATCGTATAAAGAAATTATCTACATAACTGTTACATAATACATCAAAGCGATCGCATCGATTCTCACTCGACCCAATCGATACAGATAATATCGATATTTAATCGAATTAACTCCACATCGGATATCGATGCAAAGTGCGACGGACAGAGCAAGCGGCCAGTCACGGCAGCCTGACTACCAAGATGTACGTTACAATGGATGCGGTATAATTTTAATCCGATATTCTCTTCCCGCTACAGGTAAAACATCATATAACTAAGTATAGTGTACGAAACTTAACTCTTTTCTTTAGCCATATTAATACAATAAAACTTAAAAAATAAAGCCAAGATTATCTCATACGTTCTTTGTGAAAATCGTTAGGACCAACACAATACATATTACGAGTAAAATGTATTACGTTTCATCGCTTTTTCTATGCTTTTTTATTTCTTAAAACAAACTTTAGGTTAAATTAAATGTTTATTTAGATTCTTATAGTTATGTTAAGGTTGGTTTATTTCATTACTCTAATTGTAAGCGAAACATTGTGTTTTATCAAAATAAAATATCTGATTTAAATTGTCACATCCAATTTCAATATTTCTTTTCAATAGCTGATGTTAATCCTGGACACGTGACATCTTCATAGAGCATTCGCTGTCGTATCTTAGGCAGTGGCACACCACCTCTCTACCTAAGGCCACTGCCCACTGCTTCGTAAATATCTTTAAATAATCGAATCTTTTGTTTATAGATTCAGTCTGTTTGTACGACATACGATACAACACTAAGTGAGCTATCAATTTTATTGATTGTAACGCTTAAATAAACTAAATAGGGTTAGATAATTCAATTTTAATTGATCAGGTATGAAAAGAATTGTTTTAAGGGTTATTTATATTTTTATTGCCAAATCATTTATTACGAATCTTACTGCATATAATTGTTAGGAAAGAAGTAACAAACTTAAAGATTTTTAGACATCTACAAAATATTTATCAAAACAATTATCTATTCAGTTATCTGTACCGATGTCACAATTCACAATTACAAATGACAATTCGTTTTTTTATCTTTAAATATTTACTTTCATTCATTATAACATAATTATTAAGCATTTTTCTAGATCATTAATATTTCACTGAACACATTACAATAGCCATTTACTATTGTGCAACTTAAATAAGTAGGTACTTAGATAATCTAAGCTATAAAGAAAAGCACTTACGTATAAAACGTACACGTAAGTATAACAGTTTAATAAAACCATGGGAATTTTATGAATATGAAATACTAGCTTTCGTCCGCGTAGAAATAAAAAAAACAAAAGCAAGTTGCCTACGTGTTCTTCCAGACTATGTTCTACGCCAAATTTCATTGAGATCCGTTCAGCCGTTTACCCAACAAACTCTAACAAACATCCGTTACCTACATACATAAACTTGCGCATTTATAGCATAAAAAAGTTTCTTAGATTCATCATAATATAGAACTTATTTAGATCTTTTTACTTTCTACATACTAACCTATTGATTTTTATAATCTTTGAAATAGATGAAAAATGTGTAACTAATAAATTTTCTCTAAACCTGAGAAGTTCCGAATCAAGTTTGTCGTCTGATAAACAAATTGCGCAAGAGCTGAGTACTCGTATGCTGTTTGGTTACTTGCGTCGTTGTGCGGACGTCACTAATGACTTGCTCAATGTAATCACTTCGCGACATTTATTTATGTACGCTAATCACAAGGCCGTCGCACGACACCACATCGACACATTCATAACTATCAAGTAAATATTTACTTAACTATATACACACGTCTCACTTGCAATCTCACATTTGTCTCAAAAGCTCAATAAAGCTCACATCTGTTAACAATATCGGAAGTCGCCCGGCTTTGTCTGAAAGAGAAAAAAGTCTAAATCTTTCTGATATTTTAACTACAACGTGTGACAGGAGATGGCTCTAACACGTCGCAGAAACAATATCTATTACAACGGGATATCTAGGGATATGTAGATATTCATATTTTCAGATATGTTGATACAGTGAAGTCGTCGTGTCGCGTCGTAACGTGTCGTGATAGCTATCAGATTACCAACACTCCCAACACAACATTGATAAGCTACGAATTATGTCTATCAGACATGACTCGCCGATTGCAAAGCTTATCCTATCACAACCTCACAGTTAAACTCATTCAGATGATTTGTGTTGTGATAACACATGTCAATTACTCCCGGAACTCGAGCCGTTTACAAAATGTACACAAACATACAAACAAAATTAAATAAAATCAGTGTATCAATTTACAAACCGCAACCAAGTAGCCTGGAGTTGTGATAACTCAGGACACTATTCTAGCCCCGACGGTCGCTCGCTGCTTGCTGCTAGCCTCGCTCGGGTGCGGTGGGAGCCGGGAGGCCGAGCGGCGGGGTGCGGCGGGGTGCGGCGGGGAGCGGCGGGCGGCTCCTATGTATAGCAAAGCTCGCACCGCCATTGGCCACCCCGCGCCCCCAAAGCTGCCGGGGCGGAGCGCGCGCCGTCGACTATAAATACTGGCGCCCGCCTCCGCGCCCGCCAGTCTGCTCGCCGCTCGCAGTTACAGTGCACGTGCGCACCGCGCCTCTATCGTTCATAGTGTTCCACGAGTGCTCTATCATGGTGAAGTTCGAAGGAGACTTTAGTATAAACGCCATATTGATGAATCGAGAGGTGAGCAAGTCGCCGCCCTCGCCCACCGCCTCGGCCGCGTCCTCCGCGGGCGCCGCGATCTCAGAGGCCGAGCTGAGCGATTCGGAGCTGGACGTGACCGGCACCGAGCCCGTCGACTGCTCCAAGCCCAAGCCGGACGCCGCCGACAAGAAGCACGAGAAGCCCGCCTACAGCTACAACGCCCTCATCATGATGGCCATCCGCAACAGCCCCGAGAAGCGGCTCACGCTAAACGGCATCTACGAGTACATCATGACTAACTTCCCCTACTATAGGGAGAACCGACAGGGCTGGCAGAACTCAATCAGGCACAACCTGAGCCTTAACAAGTGCTTCGTGAAGGTGCCGCGCCACTACGACGACCCCGGCAAGGGCAACTACTGGATGCTGGACGCCTCCGCCGAAGACGTGTTCATCGGCGGTACGACGGGCAAGCTGCGGCGCCGCTCCGCGCTGAACGGCCGCGCTCGGCTTGCCTGCTTCAAGCGGCCACTGTTCCCGGGCGCTGCGCTGCCGCCCGCCTACCCGCCCGCCGCTTACTCTCAGCTCGTCGGCCTCTACTCGCAGCTGCTCTACCAGAGGTATGCGCCGGTGCAGATGAAGGCGCCACCCGCCCTGCACCCCGCTCTCCGGGGCGCCGATGCCCTCGGCTACTCGGCACTGCCTTACTCTCCCGCGCTGTACGCCCCAGAACGGCTCGCAGCGCCCTTCTTGCCACCTTCGCCGCCTGCGCTGCGCTCGCCACCCGCCTCGGGAGCCTCCAGCCCAGACCTGCCAGCCGCTCACCTCGCACACCCTGCACCCCACGGGCCCCACGGCCATCACGCCCTGACGCCGCACATCTACAAGCCGGTGCCGGTGTTGACGCGGCACTGACTGCGCTCGCGCCCTCACCTCCTAGAGGCCGGGACGCTCCCGACACTGCTCGGGATATCGAATCTGTGATTTAGTTTTAGTAGAGCCAGTCGGCACTTGGCACCCGCCACCCGGCAAATGCCGCCCGGCACCCGGCGGTTTGCAATATTAGTGAAGTCGTTGTTCTCACCATTCCTCTGTCGTTTCTCCTTGTAAATTTTATGTGTAAATATTTCCAAAGCGTATATTTATTGACGTATCTAGATTAAGGTTAATAAGATTTAATTAATAAACAAAGATAAGTTGCATTTAAAATATGTTTTCTTTTACCTCAACATTAAGAAACATCGTAGCGATTGATTCAGATGATATCTGATATTACACTTATCAAACGAGATATTACGTGTGCTGACACATTGCACACCAATTCAACAAAACACAATGTTATACACACTCATACACAAGCCATATAATTTCTGTATATCATTAAAACATCAACAACAAACATAACACAGTACGGGTAGCTATAACAACACGCCTCAGAGCGCACTTGCGGTCGCTCGCTAACATTCTGTTTAGGCCTAAAGAGGAAACGCTTCCAACACAAACTAATCTTTTAAGTATTTTCAATATAGATAAGATCGTGGCAAAATATTTGTTTTATAAATACTGATTATACAAACAAATACCTTACTAATGTAATCCATACTTTGAATAAAGAAATTATGATGTAAATAAGTAACGTAGAGTTTTAGTGAAGGGATTAAGGGAGAGATTACAGCACTTCTTAAACAATCAGCATGATATTGTGAATTCCACTTTACGTAGGAAGATAACAGCACGAGTAAATACAGCGGACGATAAATTTTATTTGGGTTTCATATAACGAATAGTTCTATCAATTTTAGTACAGACTGAACCTTAAATATATATATTTACATCATTTCTAAAAACCTTTTGAACCGGCTAACAATTTTAAAAATCGTTTTTAGTTGATATAATATATAGAAAATAAATACAACTACGCGGAATGGTAAGCATTTTTATTTAAATAAGGTATACAAAAATAACTCAAATGCAATAATTTGCATATATAAGGGTCAAGGGCATTCAATTAGAATGCTTGTTAAAATTAACTGAAATGCAAAACTTGAAAACCTGAGTCGATTTCGGCCTTTCTTACAATTAACTTGTATAATTTTCTATTGTACACATATCAAGCAGGTAATAAATGGGACTGAAATATAACATTTTTTATTTCAATCTTCTATACTAATATTATAAAGAGGACGGTATTTTTGTATGTAAAAAAGCGAAAACAAGTAGCCTATGTGTTCTTTCAGTGTCTTCTACATGTATGCCAGATTTAATCGAGATCCGTTCAGCAGTTTAGGCTACAAACTCTAACAAACATCCATCTATCTAAACTTTCGCATTTATAATAGTAAGATTGCGTTTCTTTTTGTATTCCGTTTCTTCATTTGTAAGAGGTTGATATAATTTAATAAAGAAAATTTAAATTGAAAATAGTTTATAAGCTGACATATAAGAAGCAACAGTATTATAGTATTAATTTTCTTTGAAATTGTTGAAATCAATTGTTTAAAATTATTTGCCATATCATTGACAAGTCTAAATTTAACTTCAAGGTTAAATCTACAAATATTTTTTAGTTTATTTACATACAATGTAGATAATTTGCAATTTTGTTTGCATCAGTTACAGTGCGTTTTCATTACCATATTGTTACTACGATATTGTTACCAAAATAACACATTTATGTTTTGAAATAAAAGTAAGTACAAAGAAAACTTTTGAGAAGTACAGACGCTAACGACAAGACAATATGAGAACATGTGTAGCGTATAAAGTGTGATAAGTGCCTAATTTATATAAGTTTTTTAAATGCTCTGTTTTACATCTAGTCCCAATTCTTTTAAATTATAAAATAGAGTTTGTAATGTGGTCTCTAATCGATTTTACCGTAGTATTTCGAATTCGAATACTTGTTTTTAAATTAAAATTGCTTTTGTTCTTTGAAATTTCCAAGTTTAAAACTTATTTTTGTTACCAAGGATCTTTCTGTGCAACAAATACAGTCTACCCCGTTTAAAATAATACAACGTGAGGGCACATAAATTGTATCGTTTATACAACAAACGACAATTTAATGTCCGGTAATAGTTATTGTCTGAGTAATTAAGTTAGCGGCTCGGCAGCTCTTTATTCGCAGTTAATTTTAACTGAATCTGTTATTTAAATGGAACACGGTTAACCTTTTAGAGTTATCTCGCCGGCGTAAAGCAGCGCCGGTTAATTAACGGCTCTCGTTTCTGTTAACCGTGTTGTTAGCGTAGTGTTACCTCTCTATATCTATATTCACGCGTACAAATCAAACACAGGTAGGCAGAATTGTTCGTCATAAAATCGCTTTTCCTTTCTTTGAATAAAAATTGTAACAGGGTATTTAAAAAAATCGACTGATTAACAGCGGAGAAAGAGTTAAGTTTTGAACTGAGCTGTGTCTTAAAATAATTTTAATAACAATGACGTTATGTATTTATATTTTGTATTTATATTTGTAGATAAATTGGCTAAAAAACAAATGATATAATAAAAAATGAATCTCTCAAAGACTAGTCAAATTGTAGAGTCAAACGTAACATCGACAATTTGGACTGTTATTTAAAATGTTGTAAATTTTTTTGTAGTACATACCTAACGGAAATAGGACAAAGTAATAGTGAAGTGATACATCATGAAATCTATGAGTCGTCGTCTGGTCTTGTACTCGCTAGTTACTAAAGGCTTTTATAAAAACTTCACTCAAAATTGGGCAGATCAACAGCTTACTTCAAACGTATGGTGCAAGTGAAGGTTTAAAAGCGATTGACAGTAAATTAATAATTTCAGTACTGTAAACATTATAACAGGATATAGGACTTGTAAGACTTTATGTAGAAATCTATAAAGATTTTGTAGTTACAACAAACTATACACTTATTTATTTTTTCGATAAAACAGACTGGAAATGACTTGATATCTAAGTTTGAGATCGAATTTCGACAATATTACACACTTAAGAACATCAAGTAGAAAACTGTGATTGTCTTTGTCATCAAATACTTGGAGCACACACCGACACGTACAGACAAACGGACAATCAGCGGCGCTGTCAATGCCTCCATCCATCACACCGCTGTCACTACCGAGCTGACACATTCCGACATCCCTGAACACTGACTGCAACTATCTACCACGTCACAACACAATCATATTTAATTATATTATGTTGGCAATAGTTGATTCCTAAAAAAACTGATAATTATTACAATAGAGAACTTATAAATGATGTGATGAATGGTGTTTTAGCTATCTCTACTTCATCAAGACTTATCCCTAAAGAGGGTCGGCACAGCATGTGCTGTTCCATACACCTCTATCAGCCGTCATATTTCAGTTCACTACTTAAGCATATCCCCTTTATTAAGCCATTCATACTGTCTTCGGTCTTCTACCTGTAGATCTCAAGTCACTACTTACGAGGAAAAATACTTTAAATGTTAGAAAAGTAGAATCAGTAAAGGAAGTTATTGATTTTGGTATTATGTTACGTAACATTGGTTATTCACGGCGCCACTATTTTGGTCATCAAATCATTAAGCATGAATCAATCATAGAAATAATACACAGAGTAGTTAAATAGCACTTAGAGTCGCGCGTCACAGCGTAGCGGGTAAACCGTACTCATACCGCATTAATAATCACTAAGGGAGTTCTTTAGGGTGTGAGAAAATTGAACCGAGTAACTTTAATCTACCTGTAGTAGTCGCAATTTTTACGCTCTGTTGATACCTGTGTTGTTATAAGTTACCTTGTACCTTTACTGGGAATTATAAATATTAAAGCACTATATATCACTGCAAATTCAAGTAAAAAATATAGCTAAGACAAGTAGAACGAATTTCATTCTTCACTGAACACATACGCGATTGATGGGATACTCAAAATCTATACAGGATAGAATTTTGTAGTCGACCGATGAAGACCGATATGTCCCTGGGGACAGTGCTGTGCGGTCTACTCGCTGTGTACCGAGCGACAGGGCAATGTTAGCGTGTTAACAAATCAACAAGTTTGATAAGAATTGCAATATTAATGATGTTGTCTCTTGCGGTACTGCTCGCCACTTACCGCTACTATTCTATGCACACAATTACTTCTAGATTGTTCCATCATTGATACCAATAACGTAGTGTATTCCTGCTGATATAAGCACATGTTGGGGTATACAGATAACATTTTGTCCTGCTAAATTATAATTTTGATATAAATACTAAAATGAGATAATGAAAATGCCTCGTCATCCATACGATGGAAAATGCAAAATCTAACCCAGTCATACCTACACAGCTGTTTGTGTTAGAAACTAAGTTTGTGTTAATGTAACTATAAGTCGTTTAACGATGAATTAACTGATTGATGTAATGAATATTTAAGTTGTTTTAGAACATATAACATAGTGAATGGCGCGTTATCTCATCGCCACCAGCCACCGTCCCGCGGAGCCTCGCCGCTCGACATTATAATTACGGAGAGAGTAGGATGTCTAAAGAGATGCGATAAAACACAAGATAAAACAAATATTTTCGGTTCCAAGTGTACTCGGTAATTGCTTAACATTATAACATGAATTTTAATGAAATCAAATGAAACACTTTTAGATTATATTCGAATATCTCTGCCGTTAACATCGGACTGTGCGCCTAGCAACGCTACAGAGCTAGCAGTCGTAATAGGTAGATAAAAACCAAAATTACAATACAATCTGATTATCAGTTTCATGTTTTACAATTAGATTAAATTGCATTCGTTATAATCCAAATATTTTTGTAACAATTTTGAAGATTAGAAAATAACAAGTCGCTCGTGTAATGAATAAATATTTATTTAATGTAAGGAAAAATATGACATGTTGATTGAGATACAATTTCATCATCTTTCTCCTTATTCTACTCCCGTAGTGACGGTGCGTCGTTATCCGTAGAATCATACTTTACTCAGTCATCACTCCCTTTTTGATCATGTCACCTTTCACGCAATACATCCATCTCTTTCTACGTCTACCTCTACCGGTGTATCCATACCCATAACTAACGTTCTCCTTGTAACATGCGATTCATCTGTCCATAGCCATGCTAACCTTTTACTCTTTACCATATCTACCACTGGGGCTACTCTCAAACTTCCCCTAATTACTAATTTCGTATTTCGTATTTGTG